AGGCTAAGCACATTGCTGAAGACTCAGATCGCAAATATGAGGAGGTGAGAACCATGGCCTCCTACCTTCCTACTCCCAAGTGCCGTATACTCCCAGTGATCACCACTTACCTATTTCTCTCTCCCACTTCTCTCAGGTGGCCAGGAAGCTGGTGATCCTAGAAGGAGAGCTGGAGCGCTCAGAAGAGAGAGCTGAGGTGGCTGAGAGGTGAGGAAACCCTTGCGGGGGGGGGGGGGCAACCAGGGGAACTTGGCCTGAGTCCATGGCTATGGGCTACCCTGCATAATAGACAGGCAATTTCCCAAGCCATAGGGGCCATAGGGACATATCCTGTCCTCTGACCCATGCCTGATGCCCCCAGCCGAGCCAGGCAGCTGGAGGAGGAACTTCGAACCATGGACCAGGCCCTCAAGTCCTTGATGGCCTCAGAGGAGGAGGTAGTGACCTCTCTGGGCAATGGCACCTTTTCCTGGCTCACCTTCTCCTCCATTTCAGCATCTCCAGCTGCTTTCTCTTACCTGTAGGGGTCCAGGGAGGGCCCGGGGCCTCTGAATTCTGCCTGCTGTCACTCTCATCACTTGGCTCTTCTCTTCTCTCCTCCACCCCTTCCTCACTGTGCCACCCTCACTGTCGCCTCCCTGCGTGCTCACACCTCACCCCGCCACACACCCCTGCAGTAAATGTGGGGACCTAGAGGAAGAGCTGAAAATTGTTACCAACAACTTGAAATCACTGGAGGCCCAAGCGGACAAGGTAGAGGGGGTAGAGGGGCAGTGAGGATGGGGTCCTACAGGGGAGGGAGGGGTGGGCCAAGGCAGGGAGGGTGGGCTACTCAACAGAGGCAAGGTGAGGAGGAGCCTGAGGGCTCCGTGGATAAATGATCAAGGAGGTGATGTGCTGATGGCATCTGTATGTCCCTTAAAGTATTCCACCAAAGAGGACAAATATGAAGAGGAGATCAAACTGCTGGAGGAGAAGCTAAAGGAGGTGAGAAACCTTTCAGCTCCCAGTCTTCCTTCAAGCTACCCTCTCCTGGTAGAGACTACCAGTGGCAAGAGAATTTGGGGGGATAGGGATTGTCTCTGTATGGTACTGAGGACTGAACTCAGGGCCTCACATTTGTGTTGTACCACTTGAGCCATGCCTCTAGCTTGAATTGGTTATTTTCAAGGGATGGTCTCCATTTATGCCTAGGCAAGCTTGGGCTGTGATTCTGTTTGTACTTCCTAGGGTCACTGGGGATGCAGGCATCCACTGTGCCCAGCTATTATGTATTTCCTATAGCTGGGATGATAGGCACGTGACTCCATGCTCAATCATTGATTAAGATGGAGTCTCATAAACTTTTATGTCTGGCTGACCTCAAGCTAAAATTCCCTGATTTCTGTTTCCCAAGTAACTACATGCCTGAGCCCCTATCCCCAGCTGGGAAGGTGGAACTCTCTGGGCGGGCCTAATTCTTTGCTTCATCTCATCTATCCCTCATCTCACCTTTATTCCCAGGCTGAGACCCGAGCAGAATTTGCTGAAAGATCTGTGGCCAAATTGGAGAAAACCATTGATGACCTGGAAGGTAAAACGGACAGTCCTCTCCACACCGCTGTCACTCTCAGCCTGTCTCTTATCTCCCCATCCCATAAACTAGGGTTAGATCAATCACCCTGGACTCCACACCCTCTCTTGGGCTAGGTCCACCATTCAAGGAATAGTAGGGGAGTACAGTACATCAACTCCATTGCTTCTCAGAATTTACCGTGTACAAAAATGACCTGCTCTTGAGGGCTGGGGTGCAGCTCAGCAGTAGAATCCTGGGAAACCTTGGGTTCAAAAAACTCCACAGGTTCCCCAAAGTGCTTGCTGACTTTAGATTGGTGAATTGGTATTTCTGACAAGCTCCATCGGTAATGCCGATTCTGCTAGTCTTCTGGCCACATTTGGAGCAGCCCTGGTCTAACAAATGGCTCTTTCCATGGGCAGTACTATACAATCATATCACCAAGACTTGTTTATGGAATAGAAAGCTATTCTGACTTAGTGTCTGACTTTACTTGACATTAGTGGAAGATATATTACTTTAAGCTACCCTTGGCAAAAACAGGCATCCAGGTATTTGCTAAGTCTGTGATTCTTTTCCTATTATCAACAGTATTGTTGTACCTTTCCTTTTTATTCTGATAACTTAACACCCACATTTCTTGCGTCTGGCTTTCTCAGGCAAGCACTGGTGTATCTCCAGTTAGGACTTTTGGCCTTTCTGGTTAAACTCCCTTCTTATTTCACTTAAGCAAGCATGCCTGCTTGTCCAGCGCACCATGCCCACAGACTCTTGGGATGTAGGCTGATGCTCTATAGGGAGAAGCTGATTGGAGAACAGGAGACAGGAGAGAGTTGGACAGAGAAAGGGGAGAAGGGAGCCCTGACAGCTGTCTGGCTTTTTCTTTGGCCTCTGTCTCTTATTCTGTCTCTGATTCTTCTTCTCTCTTTCCATTACCTTCTCTCCTTCCTGTCCTCCTTCCCTTCACTCCCTTCCCCCACACTCCTACCTGGAAACCCTCCCCCCAGATGAAGTGTATGCACAGAAGATGAAGTACAAGGCCATCAGCGAGGAGCTGGACAACGCACTCAATGACATCACCTCTCTCTGAGCACCATGTGCTGCCTTGGCCCTCTTCGCTCCCTCTTTCCATTCTCTCTCAGGGAAAGGGACAGGCAAGAGAAAGACAGATTGGCACAGCCAGGCTGGGAGCAGCCTAGGGAGAGGCCCCACCACCTCACACTCACCTGGCACTGGCTTCCTTCTTCTATCCACTGTCTCCTCCACTGGCTGGCCTCCACCCCTCTCTGCTACTTAATAAACTCTGAACTTGGTCTCCATACTGTTTTCATACCTCCACAGAGCACTCCATCACTGTCACCAAGCACTGGTTTCCACCTGATGCCCTGGTTTCACCCGCTGTCTTGTGACACTTGGCACTGCACTGAGCCCTCCCACCAAAGTGTGACCTCTGCACGGCACTCCCAATCTGTTCCCCTCTAACTCACAGCTGCATGTGGGACCCCATCCAGCACTCTCACCCCTTTGGTTCTGTCGCTGGCTCAGGACACTTAGCTGGGGCTCCAGGAGCTAACAGAATAACTGCAAGGCAGACGGGACAGTGAGGTACAAAGGAAGGGCAAGAAGGTCATGAGAGGTCTGGAATGAAGTTCGGGAATGTGTTGGAGGTCAGCACTGTTGCTTTCACTGCAGCTGCAGGTCTGTTTTCTGCCTTTGTTCTGTCTGTCTGACCCTCCCTTTCTTGGCACAGTCTTTGTTAGACCTTGTTTCCTTCTTTTCCAAACCTTTCTGAGGAGGAGGGGAAAATTCAGTTTGTGATACAAGGCCTCCCCATCCCACCTGCTTGACCCTGAGGCCTCAAGTGAAGCATCTGTGTCTGTTTTGTTCATCCATCCACTTGCTCCTGCCCTGGGACCCTCAAGTCCCTGAAAGCTTGTGTCTTCTTGTGTCTCCTAACCTCCTCCATGTCTGTGTGATCATGCCCTGTCCGTATCTCCCTCCCCCTGCTCACATGCTGCTTCCCCTCACAGAGACCTTGGCCAGTGCCAAGGAGGAGAACGTGGAGATTCACCAGACCCTGGACCAGACCCTGCTGGAACTCAACAACCTGTGAGGTCCAGCCCTGCCTCCCCACAGGTTACAGTGGCTGCCTCACCCCAATAAAGGAGATGATACCAGCATCCCAGGACCTGTAATGCCTGTCTTTGCTCAGTAGTAAAATTGGAATGAGCCCTAAATGAATAGGGCCAGTTTTGACTCTGCAATAGGACCTCCTTTTCAGTTCTGTCCACAGCCCTTTGTGCTTTAGTTTTCAAATAGGGTCTCATGATTTTGGCCTTTGCTAACCTGGACCACAATCCTACCTACACATAACCAGTATTACAAATGAACCACCACACAGTTTGTTGAGGTAGTCTTGCTTTTTTATTGCCTTTTTTTAAAAACCAGATTGGCCTCAAACTGTGGTCCTCCTGATCCTTAGCCTTCTGAATAACTGAGAATGCAAGTATAAGGCACTGCATCTGGCTTCTCAATGTGATTTTAAGTCTAGCATAGTCTACCCCACCTCTCAACACATACTGCTTCTCCATACACATATGCATACATACAAAGCCACTCCAACAATACCAGTTACACCTGCCCCCTTGTAGATAACATGATGGGCAAAATAATTCCCCTTCCCCACAGATGTCTACACTGTATACTGGGAAATAGCACCTTCGAGACCAAGTAAAGGATGTGAGATGTGATCATCCTAGGTTAACAGAGCAGGTTCAAAGTAATCACAAGGAATCTTACAAAAGAAAGAAAAGAGCCAGGTGCAGCAGCACACATAAGTGGCAAAGACAAGAGGATAGGATCAGGAGTAAAAGAAATCCAAAGGCAATAACACCATATGACCATGGAAATGAGGCGAGAGGGATATGAGGAGGATGACTTCTAGAATTTAAACAAGGCCAAGAAACATTCTGCCCTAAGAACACGCTGACACCAGGATTAAGCCCCTTTTGGACTTCTAACCTCTAGAACTACAAGAGTCAAAGACCAGGAAGTTCATGGTACTTGTTACAATAGCAATAACAAACTAAAAGGCCACCCCAGTTTTGAAGAACAAAAATAACTTTGTTATACATACTTTATTAGAAACATTGTAAAAATAATCCCAGAGGGCTAAAGGTAGGAGCATACACAGGAGGCTGGGATGGGAGACGAGTTCCAGGCCAACCTGGCATTACCTAGTAAGACCCTGTCTCAAAAAAAAAAATAATAATCTGAGAGTTGAATCCAGTCTTGTCCTAACAGTACAAGATTCCATTGCAGTGGTTTAAGGGGAAAATATGAAGAAAAAAAATTTCTTGGAATTGTATAAGGGATGGGATGAGATTTCCAGATTCTTTCAGAATTTTCAGCTGGCTTCTCTGAATATCCTCCAAGTTCAGGGTCTCTAGGCTCCAGTTTCTGCCATTTCTGCTGGGCTGTAGCCAACACCGTCTTTGGTCCCACTTCTTTGTCTATACAAGAAATGGTAATCAGCCAGGCACCCAAGGCTCACACCTGTAGTCCTGGCTACTCCGGAGGCTGAGATCTGAGGATCATGGTTCAAAACCAGCCCAGATAGGAAAGTCTGTGAGACTTTTATCTCCAATAAACTACCAGAAAGCTGGAAGTAGTGCTTAGGTGGTAGAGTGCTAGCTTTGAGCTGAAGAGCTGAGGGAAAGCACCCAGACCCAGAGTTCAAGCCCCACGACACACACACACACACACACACAAAAGAAATGGTAATCAGAAAACTGGACCTAGATGAGCTTATTTGCATGAAAGTTGCATAAAGTCCAGAGTTTGGGAGAAGGTTTAGTAAGTAAATACCTGAGCTTTCTCCTCATCTGCACCAGGAAGGCAATGCTGGTAGCAGCAAAGAGGAAGCCAAAAACTAGGGCCAGGATGTCACCTAGGAGAGAGAAGGAAGGTACATAGTAAGGCCATGGCCCACATGGGTCCCTCCAAGCCCCCTTCAGTGGTGGTGCCTCATCTAAATCTCCAGAAGAGGACAGCTGGGGATGGGGCAAGTACATGAGAAGGAATAAATCACCATTTCCTTCTAACAGCTAGGGCAAAGAGGAGTTTGGCAAGAGGTATGCTAGGATATTTCTAGAACTTCATTCTCCACTAAGCCCTGGGGACAGTCAAGAAATCCCCACTGGGGTCACAATACATGCCTATCATCTTGGATTTGGGTACAATAACAGAGTTGGTCTGACTAGCCCCTGGGGCTGAATGTTACCAAGAGGTGTTCCCCAGGAACAGGAACAAGAGGGACACAGACTCACCAGCAGCAAGGCAGGAATTCACGTGGACTGAAGAGAAAAAGGAAACATTAGAGCTGGGGACTATGAACACCAGTGGCAGACTCAAGCATAATAAAGACATAGAAGGAGAAGGGACTTGTGTATAGCAGGATATGGCAGTGTGGGACCCCAAAAGCTATACCTGGCTCAGGGCTGCTGTCTGCCACAACGGGGAAAGAGGCCTCGATCATTCGCCCATTCAAAGGCTGCGTGGCTCGGAAGTTCATTTGTAGCCGGGAGTCAGGAAATGCCCATAGAGAAACAGAGAGGGTGTGCAGCTAGGGAAGGCAAGATAGAAAACACAGATCGACTCATAGCAAAAACTATACAGTCCCAGGCCCCCTCACCAGCCAGCACTCAGGGCCCATCCTCCATCTACTCCAACCCACTACACAGCCCATGGATCTGTCATCTTCCCCTACATCCCCTCACCCTTGCACCTCCTGCATGTTGTATCATGCCCCAGCCTTACCTGCTTGGCACTCAGCTTCACTGTCTGGTTAAAAACAGTCCAGATGACTCCCTGGGCACAGGGGGGTGTCGTCAGGGACCCGTCATATCGGAAGTATCGGCTGAGGTCAGAGGGCAGCAGTGAAGATACATCCAGTCCTGGGATCATAGTCTGTGAGCCTGTAGACAGGATTCATATTGTTGTCTCACCTGGAGAGCCTGCCCATGAAGCTCTGGCATGTAAGGATTTTAACCCTCACCCCCCAACCAACTAACTCCCTGAGGTGGCTACTTCACTCTCCGTGACTCCTTTCCATAACTCCCGGCAAGACATAACTCAGAAGGAGTGGAAGAGGCCTCAGAGAAGAGATCTTGGAGACCTTGCTCAGTCTTCACTCTTATTTTGCATATAAACAAAAGATGGTAGACCACTGATTTATTCCATACGTGAATTAAAAAGGAAAAACACCCCTGGAAACATGGCACAAGTGGTAGAATACTTGCTTAGCAAGTGTGAAGCCCTAAGTTTAAATCAAAGTACTACCAGAAAAAAATAAACATAAGAGCTGGGCAATGATGGCTCACACCTGTAATCCTAGCTACTCAGGAGGCTGAGGTCTGAGGATTGAGGTCAAAGCCAGCCCAGGCAGGAAAGTCCATGAGACTCCAATTAACCACCAGAAAACCAGAAGTGGCACTGTGGCTCAAAGTGGTAGAGCACTAGCCTTGAGCAAAAGAGCTCAGGGACAGTACTTAGGCCCTGAGTTCAAGTCCCATGAGCAACAAAAATTAAAAATAAATGAGGCTTGGGCTACAGCTCAGTGGAAGAGTGCTTTGCTGTGGTGGTTGTTTAGCAAATTGGAGTCCCGGGTTCAACCCCCAGTACCATACACACACAGAGAAAGACTGAATAACTTGTAAATAAGCATAATATTTATAACTATAAAAAGTAGACACAAAAATTCCAAAGGCACTCTTCTTGCCAATTTAGCAAAGATCTAAAGATCCAGCAGTGTGACATTTAAAGTGACCTGGGTTGACTGAAAAGACTTCCAAGACACTTGAAGTTCCAAGCACTATGTTGTTGTTGTTATATTTCTATTTCTTTTTTCTTTTTTTAATCTAATTTTGTTTTCTGTTGGTTTTAGGGTTTGAGCCACCAAGCCTGTGAGAAGTAGTTTGCCTGTTCCTGTTTGCCTCTGGTCAGCTTCACAATTTTTAAAATCAAAGCCAGTTCACAGCTCAACCCTCCCTCTCCATCCTAACAGCAACCCACAAACTGACCTTCCTCACTGATTTCTTCCAAATGTGACAGCAACTGCTCATAGGCACTGTTTTCTTCTGGGCCCTCCTAGGGGATGACAATACAAGACAGATTGATACCTTCATCTAGGGTCATAGCTGGAGGCCTGACCATGGAGTGTGTTTCTCATAGTTCTTCCCTATTACTCACCTATGAGAAGGCTCAGAGAACACAGAACCTTATTACTCAAAGTCTATTTCTCTCCCTCATCCCCCCAATACTGGGGTTTGAACTCAGGATTTTATCCTTGCTAGTCCAGTATACTACCACTTAAGCCATGCTTCCAAATCATCCTCCATTTTAGTTATTGGAATAGGATCTCTGTATGTATGAATGAATGTATGCATATACGTATGCATATATGTATGTGTATGTGCATGTATGTATTTTGGTCCAGGCTGGCCTGTACTTTGATCCTCCTATTGATACTTGTGTAACTTGGATGACAGGCACAAACTACTCTGTCTGGCTTATTAACGTGAGGTCTTGCTCTTTGCCTAGCTGATCCAAGACTGTAATCTTATCCATTTCTGCCTCCCAATTATATGTATGAGCCACCATATTCAGCTAAAAGTCTATTATTCTTGCTTTGCAAACAGCTTGATGGACTGATTTTCAGTGGCAAACTCGAGGAGGACAAAGTGGTAGTAGTGTGCCATTTATTATGATACTGGCCCTGCTACCTTTTATTTATTTATTTTATTTTATTTTATTTTGGTCCGGTCGTGGGGCCTGAACTCTAGGCCTGGGTGCTGTCCCTCAGCTCTTTAGCTCAAGGCTAGCACTCTACCACTTGAGCCACAGTGCCACTTCTGGCTTTTTTCTTTTTGCTTATGTGATGCTGAGGAATTGAACTCAGGGCCTCAGGCATGCAAGGCAAGCGCTCTACCACTGAGCCACCTTCCCAGCCCCCTGCTACCTTTTAGATTTTCACTCCTCCTTACCTCCACATGCACTCCATGTTACTGCCCCCCCCAACACTGTAATGCACCTGTGCTTATGCTACCTCTGTATTGACTTTAGGAGTGTGGTCCTGACATGCCGTTTCTGAAGCATTTATCTGAACGCTTGGTTCTGTAATCCTGCCATTGACAAGGGATCCAAGCAGGTACCTCACCTCCTCATGTAATTGTTGATCATTACTGCATTTTGTAGTAATGAGTAAGAGAAAACAAAACAAAAAAACAAAAGTCCTTGGGTGCAGCCTACTGCATCTGCCATTCTGCAAACGGATCTTATTCTGAGTCTTTAAACATACTCTTTTCTGCATTCCTTTTCTTTCCCACTAGTGAAGCCTTGGAGTGAACCCCACTTTTAGAATACTTTGCAACATCTATCTTGCCAGCCTCCCTCCTGGCTGTGGACTTCCTCTGTGTGGTCCAGTGTCTGCCTCAGGGTGGGTAACTCTGTAGATGCGGCTGATGGCTTGAGGCCGGAGAGAGTGCTGAAGAGGCAGGCTGCACCAACCCCCTGGTACCTGCAGGAAGGCTGCCAGCACAGCCAAGCCTCCGGGGCGCCCCAAGGCCTCGCTAACTTCTGAGAACGCAGTGCTGAGGTGAACCACGTGGATCTGGAGAGGACACGAAAGTCAGAGTGGAGCCCTGTCTATGGGCATGGCCCTGTGTCCCTTCTGGGCCAGCTGGTTGCTCACCTCAGCAGGGTAGTGGTGGCCGTCCACAGTGTGCTCAGAGCCCGGGCGATCGGAAGTGCCCCAGTGCAGGTGCAACTGCAGGGCCCGGTACTCCCGCCCGGGACCCAGGGCCATCGTTAGCCCCTGCGGCAGAGATAGCTGGACTGTGTGGGAGCAGCAGGTGAGCCAGACGCTGCCCGGCGGGTCCGTGAGAGGCAGCCTAACCCCCAGCCTCCAAGTTCTGCCAGTTTGCCCAGCTTCGAGAAGTCTAGCCTTGTCCCACCCAGTCCCCAGACGCCCCGCCCAAGACCCCCTCACCGGTGTGGCCATTGTTGCGCAGGCTCAGTTCCGGGCTTGGCGGGAGCTCAAAGCCCAGCAGTTCCAGAGGTTGCAGGGCGCGGCAGAACACGGCGAGCTCGGGGCGGATATCTACCGGGGACTGAAAGCGGCCCGCGCAAGCTGGGGACACCTGGGGCCAGGGCAGGCTGCCTGACGTGAGAGAGTTGGTGGAGAAGTGTGATCACTGGGACCCCAAGGCTTGGGGCAGAAAATGGAGATCAGGGAAGTGGGTGGGGACGGGAGGGGGCCGCCCGGAACCAGTGTTGGGACAGAGGGGGGGAGAGTGGGGTTCCCAGACTGAGTCTGTGCAGAGCTGGGCGTCTCACCTCGGTAGCGCCAATGACTGTGACCATCGCCTGCATAAAGGACAAGGATTAATAGGCACCTCTTAGAGCCAGGTTCGTTCCTTGTGGCTACAGCGAGACCAGTTCCCCTTTCCACACACAAGCCCCACGTACAAGGGGCGCACACGCGCGGATGTTCTACCGGGGCATGGCAGGGAACAGAAATGCCTGACGTGGAGCGGGGAGGTGTGGCTCATTGGTGGAACGCCTGCCTACCGTGCCCCAAGTTCAAACCCTCAGTACCGCCAAAAAGAAGTGGGGGGCGGGGGGGGGTTGGAGAAAGCCTGAAATGGGCCAGGTGCGGAGCCGAGCGGAGGGCAGCCAATGTGACACCACAGCTGGAAGAGCCAGCCCCCAGTTTGCAGACACTAAGGGTGTTTTGTCTGGGAGACTCTACAGCGGGGGGGGGGTGGGGGGGATTCAAATTTCCAGACCTAAATATCTTTTCTTATTCCTCATTCTTCCTTTCTGATCTCCACCTCCTTCCCCAACGTTCCTGACTTGGCAGTTCAGATTCCAGGTTTCCTCCACATGTGGTTTCCTTCTTCCTAGCTTTGCTTTCTCCCTTGCAGACTGAGAATGAGGTGATCTTTAAGACCCTCCCTGCCCTGCCGCTGGTACCCCAACCCACCCTCTCCTCCACCTCCCCTCCTTTCCCTTCCCCTCATGCTCTTCCCTCTCCACTTTTCTGTCTCTGCACATTCCTCATCTTTCTCCTCCAATCTCCCCCTAACTTTCCCTCTTTCAGCTGCACCTCACTTTTTCTTCTCTCTGGCCATCTCCTCACTCTGAAAGGGAGGAGGGGGCTAGTAGTGTGGGAATCTCCTAGAAGGGCTGCTGTTAAAAGTGCAGGCTGCTTTTCTGAATGAGCAATCCAGGACTGAGGGCTAGGGTGGGGGCATGAACCTGCCAAAGACTAGACTTGGAGGTGGGCGACCACTTACCTTTTTTATCCCTGTGAGCCTCTTCAGTATCCCTGGGAGCTTCAATAGTGGGCACATCCTCTAAATGCAGGGGACCTTCTGGTTCAGGATTAACTTCAGGTGTCTTCTCACCAGGTAGATCCACCTCTTCAAGTGGATCCTCTTCACTGGGCAGATCCTCCTCGCTCAGTGAATCATCTTCCCCAGATGAACCTCCACCTAAGGAGAGATCCCCCTGCATCCAGGACAGGCTCTGAGGATGGGCAGGCACCAGGAGCAGCACTGATAGCAGCAATTGCACAGTAGGGGCCGGGATCAACAGAGGGAGCCAGGGGCTGGGGCACAGGGAAGCCATGCGGCTGACTGGGGTGTCCCAGGACACGGTGTGTACGGGCTGTACGTGCATCGGAAACAGGAGCCGGTGGGGGAGGAGCAAGCCTTGAGGGGAGCAGGCTGACTCACAAAGTGCCCTTCTGTAGAGATGGAGCCAAAGTCCCGTGGGTCTGCCTGGCCCTGTGCCCCCTCCCCGATACCAAAGCCTGGGTAGGGGCTGAGGGGCAGGTGTGTGTGCAGGCAGAAGGTTATCAGGGTCATAGGCTCAGCGTGGAACCTAGCACCACCTGGCACTATACAAGCTCTCCCTGGCACAACCCAACTGCTTACCAGCCAGCTTCAGCTAACCCTGGCTTGCTTCCCAGCCCTAGGCAGAGAAGAGGGAAGACAGAGAAACTTGGGCTCCTGTGTTGTCTGGCTGGGAGGGAAAGCAGCCCTGTACACATCCCCGAGCAGGTAAAGGGTCAGGACAGGGTGCTAGGGGAGCCTGAGGATGAGTAGGTGGACCAGAAGACAGGTAGGCAGGAAGCAAATCGGAACATGAATGGGAGACGGAGTATCTGCATGAGAAAGACTCTGATTACATTCAATTTATGGATTTTTCATCTTTTTACTCCTCCTCCGTCATTGACTCTGAATTGTCTACCAAAGTGTGCCCCACATTATCTTCAAAGTCTTACCCAAGAGACTTTTCTTTCTGCTACTCTCCCTCATACTCAGTCAAGTTACATCATTCATTTTTTGGTGAACTTTTATTTGGTGAGGCTGGGAATCAAACCTAGGACCAGATGAATGCTAAGCAAGTGCTCTACGAATAAACAGAGCACATCTTTTTTTTTTTTCTCCCAAGTTTTTGCACCTCTGTTAATCTAATTCTTTTTTGGGGGGGGGGGTCCGGTCGTGGGGCCTGAACTCTGGGCCTGGGCGCTGTCCCTTAGCTCTTCAGCTCAAGGCTAGCGCTCTACCACTTGAGCCACAGTGCCACTTCCGGCTTTTTTCTTTTTGCTTATGTGGTGCTGAGGAATCGAACCCAGGGCCTCATGCATGCAAGGCAAGCGCTCTACCACTGAGCCACCTTCCCAGCCCCTGCTAATCTAATTCTCACTGCCTCATCTGCTCTTGTGGTGTTCCATAATTATGTAGCACCTACTGTATGTCAGGCACTGCTATGGACTAGGGAAATAGAAATGAATAAAAGAGAGTCCTCTTTACTTGGGATGTGGTTTCAGGAGCATTTTCTTGACAATAAATTAAAAGCTGTATTCACATACTGTTTTGTAGAATGGAAATTTCTTTGTATAACTACTTAAAGAAAATAAAAAAAAATTAAAAACCAAAAAGAGCCGGGCACTGATGGCTCAGGCCTGTAATCCTACCTACTCAGGAGGCTGAGATCTGAGGATCATGGTTCAAAACCAGCACAGGCAGGAAAGTCCCTGAGACTCTAATCTCCAATTAACCACCAAGAAACCAGAAGTGGAGCTGTGACTCAGAGTGGTAGAGCACTAGCCTTGAGCAAAAAACTTGGGCACAGCGCCAAGACCCTGAATTCAAGCCCCATGACTAGCCAAAAAAAAAAAAAAAAGTCCTTATTTAAAGAGGCTCCAGTCTATAAGTGAGGGAAACTGCTGTGGCAATATATATTGGGGAGAGAGATGAATTTTGCCTTTCTCTCTCTCTCTCTCTCTCTCTCTCTCTCTATATATATATATATATATATATGCTGGCAAAATTTGATCTTAATCTTGAAAAGAAGTAGCAGCCCCTTTGGTAAAAGTAAACAATGGGGCTGGGAAGGTGGCTCAGTGGTAGAGCGCTTGCCTTGCATGCCTGAGGCCCTGGGTTCGATTCCTCAGCACCACATAAGCAAAAAGAAAAAAGCTGGAAGTAGCACTGTGGCTTAAGTGGTAGAGCACTAGCCTTGAGCTGAAGAGCTGAGGGACAGCTCCCAGGCCCAGAGTTCAGGCCCCACAACCGGACCCCCCCCCAAAAAAAAGTAAACAATGGGACTGGGCTTTGGTTTTCTCATGCCTGTAATCCTAGCTACTCAGGAGGCTGAGATCTGAGGATCACAGTTCAAAGGCAGGCAGGCAGGAAAGTTCCTGAGAGCCTATCTCCAATTGACCACCAAAAAGCTACACATGGAGCTTTGGCTCATGTGGTAGAGCATTAGCCTTGAGTGAAAAAGCTCAGGGACAGCACTCAGGCCATTAGTTTGAGCCCCAGCAGGAGGAAGGAAGGAAGGAGGGAAGGGAAGGGAAGGAAGGAAAGGCAGGAAAGGAAGAAAGGAAAGGCAGGAAAGGAAGGAAGGAAGGGAGGAAGGGAGGGAGGGGAAGGAAAAGAAAAGAAAAGAAAAATGGGAAGGATGGTATTCTGGGCAAGTGGGAGTCATGAAATATTTGAGCAGGAGAACGACAAAGCCAGTCTCATTTTAGGTCATGCTGAGGACTACTAAGAATATCATGGGGGCTGGGAATGTGGCTTAGTGGTAGAGTGCTTGTCTAGCATACATGAAGCCTGGGTTCCATTCCTCAGTACCATATACACAGAAAAAGCTGGAAGTGGCACTGTGGCTCAAGTGATAGAGTGCTAGCCTTGAGAAAAAGAAGCCCAGGGAAGCTCATGAACTCAGTGTCCAGGCCCTGAGTTCAAACCCCAGGACTGGCAAGAAAAAGAAGAAAGGAACAGGAGGAGGAAGAGGAGTAGGAGCAGGAGGAGGAAGAGGAGTAGGAGCAGGAGCAGGAGGAGAATAAAAGCATCATGAACTTGAGGGAAGACTGAATGTAATGAGGCAGAATGAGAGCACACCAAGAATGTATTGTTTAGGGATCCCAGTCTGCACACTTAACATTTATTGAGCTCCTCCAATACTCCAAGTTAAGGTCCTAGAGGTCCACTATTATCTGAGCTCCTCTCTGGAGACCTTTTAGATCCCATGATTCCTTATTTCAAAAGGCAATTCCTTGAGTACTTCAACTAGTTTCACCTGTGATGGTAAATATTTTCAGTCTCTGTTGTCTAAATCTCTTCTGTTCAACACTCAGCTCATAGGCAACTCCCTAGAAATCTTTTCTTAACCAACTCTCCACCACCAGTCCAGAAATGATGTCTGTGCTTGTGAGCTACCACAGTTCTTCACTTGTCCTTAATAACCTTTCCCACCTTTGAATTCATATTAAGGTGATTTATGATATTTTATCTGCTTTAATAACCTTGAGATCCATAAGGGCAGGGTCCAGTATTTGATAAGTCAATATTTTATTTATCAGCCATTATTGAGCAGATTTCCTGGTCAGGTTCTTGAAAAATACTAAACTATCTTCCCTATTCCCAAGGTGGTTGTCAATGACCTGATGTCAATCTACAACTATCCTAGAAATGTGGCATCACATTTTGTATGACACTCCAAATTATCTGCTTTGTTTGTCATATTTTACACCAAAACTTGTATGGCTGAAATAACAGGTACCCTCCCAAGTGATCATCTTAGGAGATCATAAAAGATTGTGGATTGTTTTCCTTGAGCTGCAAGTATAGTTCAGTAGTAGAAAACCCAGCTAACATGCACAAAACCCTGGATTTGATCTCCATCAACATGTATGTGCATGCACGTGCACACACACAGACACACAGACACACACAAGATTTTAGGTTGCAATGATGGCTTTTATAGGCAATGATGGCTTATGCCTATAATCCTAACTACTCAGGAGGCTGAGATCTGAAAATAAAGATTCAGAGTAACCTGGCAGACAAATCCTTGAAACATTTATCTCCAATTAACCAGCAATAAGCTGGAAGTGGAGACATGGTATACATGCTAGAGTACCAAGTGTGATTGAAAAAGCTGAGCAAGAGTTCAAGGCTCTGAGTTCAAGCACTAGTACTAGCACACACAAAAAATGTTATTTTAGGTTGCTTTTCTGCAGCCATCCTGAAAGCTGTCCATGAATTTGATCTGGCATACAGTTAGGATGGCCAGCAGTGTTTTTTCAGCTCTCTGCTTGGACCCTGACACATAGAAGACACATGGAATACCTGAGTTGGATGGGCCAAGACAGAATTTGAAAGCTCACACCTGTAATCCTAGCTACTCAGGAGGCTGAGATGGGAAGATAGCAGTTTGAAGCCAGCAGTCCCCAGGAGACTCATCTCCAATTAACCTCTCAAAAAGTAGAAGTGGAGCTGTGGCTCAAAGTGGTAAAGCAGTAGCCTTGAGCAAAACAGCTCAGGGATAGTCCAGGCCCTGAGACAAGACCCACAACCAGAAAAAACAAAAAAAAACAAAAAACTTGATAAAGGTTAGTCTAGTTGACACAAGAAAGGCCACAGAGGGCTGGGAAGGTGGCTCAGTGGTAGAGTGCTTGCCTTGCATGCCTAAGGCCCTGGGTTCGATTCCTCAGCACCACATAAGCATAAAGGAAAAAACTGGAAGTGGCACTGTGGCTCAGGTGGTAAGAGCGCTAGCCTTGAGCTGAAGAGCTCAGGGACAGCGCCTAGGCCCAGAGTTCAAGGCCCACGACTGGACCCAAAAAAAAAAAAAAAAAAGAAAGGCCACAGATTCAGAAAGGACAGAAGTACAGAAAAGACAGAAGTGCTATGCTAACTACAGTTTGGAAGTAGTATGGTTGGGTAACTACCCAACACAAATCTTAGCTTTTATACATTTTTCTCTTTTCCAAATATTCTGAATATTTTAGTCTTCCTTCTCCCCCTCCTCTCCCTCCCTCCTGCCTCTTTCTCCCCTCCCCCCTTTCCTCCTCCTTCCTGATCCTGGGGTTTGAACTCTGGCCTTGGATTCTGTCCCAGAACATCTTTTGCTGAAGGCTAGAGCTCTACCACTTGAGCCACAGTTCCACTTTCAGCTTTTTCTGAGTCTCCTGCCCCAGCTGGCTTCGAACCATGATCCTCCCATCTCCACCTCCTGAGTAGCATGAGCCACTGGCACCCACCTAGTTGTCATTTGTAAATGTCAGGATCTCTGTATAGTTCTCTACAGCAGTCAAGTTTTGTTTTTGTTGT